AAGGGGTACCACTGTCGTTTTTTTTTTCGGGCCAATTTTTGAGTTTCGATATCTCAGCTCTGGAAGGGGCTAGAGCCTCCATTTTTGCACTCAGGTCTAAGTCTCATGGCCCTCTATCAGAATCCAGAGTTTTGGAAGATTGGAGAAACTTAATTTTTCGCCCGAAAAAAAAAAAACGTAAGGGTACCACTGTCGTTTTTTTTCGGGCCGAATTTTTGAGTTTCGATATCTCAGCTCTGGAAGGGGCTAGAGCCTCCATTTTTGCACTCAGGTCTAAGTCTCATCCCTCTATCAGAATCCAGAGTTTTGGGAAGATTGGAGAAACTTAAATTTTCGCCCGAAAAAAAAAAACGTAAGGGGTACCACTGTCGTTTTTTTTTCGGGCCGAATTTTTGAGTTTCGATATCTCAGCTCTGGAAGGGGCTAGAGCCTCCATTTTTGCACTCAGGTCTAAGTCTCATGGCCCTCTATCAGAATCCAGAGTTTTGGAGAATTGGAGAAACTTAATTTTTCGCCCGAAAAAAAAAAACGTAAGGGGTACCACTGTCGTTTTTTTTTTCGGGCGAATTTTTGAGTTTCGATATCTCAGCTCTGGAAGGGGCTAGAGCCTCCATTTTTGCACTCAGGTCTAAGTCTCATGGCCCTCTATCAGAATCCAGAGTTTTGGGAAGATTGGAGAAACTTAATTTTTCGCCCGAAAAAAAAACGTAAGGGGTACCACTGTCGTTTTTTTTTCGGGCCGAATTTTTGAGTTTCGATATCTCAGCTCTGGAAGGGGCTAGAGCCTCCATTTTTGCACTCAGGTCTAAGTCTCATGGCCCTCTATCAGAATCCAGAGTTTTGGAAGATTGGAGAAACTTAATTTTTCGCCCGAAAAAAAAAAAACGTAAGGGGTACCACTGTCGTTTTTTTTTTCGGGCCGAATTTTTGAGTTTCGATATCTCAGCTCTGGAAGGGGCTAGAGCCTCCATTTTTGCACTCAGGTCTAAGTCTCATGGCCCTCTATCAGAATCCAGAGT